CCAAAACGCCCGTAACTAAGAAACAAATGCTAATTCGATGATTCCGGCTGGCACACTGATTCACTATGAATGTAGGCCGCACCCCCTAGCGGCATAAGCTCGTACTACATCCGGTTCGCCCGCTATTGAGACAGTCTTGAAACTTTCCGATCGCACCTCGTAATATGTGACGGTATGACGCGATAATGAACTTTCGAGTTGCATAGAAAAAGCTGAATCTATTGACCTGCTAAACGACTATAAGATTTTCTATTCCGTCGGATTACTCACTTGGTTTTAACTGCGTTGTTACAAAAATAAATGGCTGGAGTGTGTGTTGGAGATCGTTCTTCAGTCACAAAGGTTTACTGTGACGTGTGGTCGAGCGGGTTCACCCGAAATTCTAACGGGAAACTCCCGAATTCAAGTCAAGAGTTGGTACGACTGTGTAATCTCACTCGGTCATTCATTCAATTAACAAGGTAAAACCAGTTTGATCAATTTACTGTTGTGTCCTGTCAGGTCGATCACTTCAATCCGGACAAGAGTTTGTCACAACAACTGGAAATTTTTACACTAAATATAACATCTCATTTCATGACTACGAAACAAATGCTAATTCGATGATGCCGGCTGGCACACTGATTCACTATGAATGTAGGCCGCACCCCCTAGCGGCAGAAGCTCGTACTACATCCGGTTCGCCCTCTATTGACACAGTCTTGAAACTTTCCGATCGCACCTCGTACTTCTACACAACCTTCGTCCATTCGTAAATAGGTTTCCAACATATGTTTCACTGAATATGGTCTAACATTGGGTAATCCAGCTCTATTTTTCTTGTAGCCTGGTTGAAGGAAAGGAAATCACGATGAAGGAAGTTGAGAACGCTTTCGGTGGAAACATTTGCCGCTGCACCGGTTACCGTCCAATTCTTGATGCATTCAAGTCTCTGAGCGTAGACGCCACTCCGGACTTACAGAGAAAAGTCCAGGACATTGAGGTCAGTAAATAATAATTTTCCGTGGAAGTATGACGTTTAAAAATGAAACATTTCATCACACAAAACTGTGTTCTGAGCTTTGTGAATCACCCCTTGTTGGATACAACAGTAGTTAAAACTGTGAATTATTCGGTGCCATAACCACATTTTTTAAGTGGAACGAACTCCTTCGTTCCTTGAAGACACACATTTGGGGTTCATATAATGCATAAAGCGATCACTCAAACAATTAATCACACACGAAAACCGAATAAAGTTGTTAAATGCCAGATATCATAAACCTTTTGTTCAATACGAGATCCTGGCACAAAGACTAAAATAGTAAATATCTATTTTTAATAAAGCAATTTATTAGAGTAAACAGAAAGTATAATTGCGTCATATTGTGAATCGAATATTAAATTAATTATTTGGTTTTTCCGTCAAATCACAATTATATTTAAAATTTACAAATAAGATAATTAAAATATAACCAAATAATTAATCTAATTTCACTATTTGACGAGAAAAATTACTTTCGCGTGTTCCACGGTGATCATTTCTGAATCAATACATTGATTTTCAAAATAAATTTCATTTCATTAGACGTCATATCCTGTCATATAAGCTTTGACCGTTTTCCATGGGCATTAGAAATATGTTGGTCACAATAAACGTTTGAGATCAGAAGAATATTCAGCGAATATGATAAAAGATCTTTGTAAGATATTCATTTTCCTGTGAATGTACAATGGCAAGGCAATCACACGTAACAGATATTTATTTACATTTAATTGAATATAGGGTAGTGGTATGAGAAGTAAGATACATATGGCTTTGAAATTATTTGAACACCTCTTGCAAATGTCAAATCTATACAAGTTTTCCCTTGCGTGGTTGGTTTGTCCAAATCATTCACTAGTTCAACTTTAAAGAATTTCTGAAGGTACGCACGTATTCTGGTTGTACTTTGCCCTCATATATCGCGACATTTTAAGAAAATCTGGAAATTTTCAAACTTTTTCAAATTCACAGCCTCGTATCTTTTTGAGTTTTTGAGATACACACTTAATCCCAGGATGAGTTGTAACATATACATTCCTCTTCAAAACAACATTTGGTTCGCTCGGATCGGATAATTAGTCTCTGAGATATGATCCCGTTTATGGACACGTGTCGACTCCGGAAAGTCGAAAATCGTGGGTTCACTTTGCGCGTGCGCAGTTCGCGACGTCCGGCCGCCACGAATGTCGGAGCGGTACTGGCACAAACTTTCATCCTTCCTCTTTAAAACGAGACTAAGATAGCGGCGCTATGTATATTTTTAGCCGAATTATTGAAGTTTAAAATTACTTCGACAGAAACTGTCGCTCATTTGGGCGCGATTTTAAAGACGTTTTCACGTCAAAAATTCCTGTCACAATAAGTTTGTTCCGCTAAAGACAGGAGACCAAATTAAAAATATGGCACGATCCTTTGAGTAAAAACTTTTTACGTGGGGTCTATTGAAGTTACTAGTAATTTTTTTTTCAATGTTTCAGGAGGTGTACAAAATCAAAATTTGTCCCCAAAATGGCAAGACATGTTCTGGAAACTGTACTGATAATGAAAGCCAAGAGAATTGCAATGGAACAGAGCTCATTTCTGGACAAGACACTTTGCAAGTTCATCTTCAACTGAGAGGAGCTCAGTGGTTTAAAGTCACAGAAGTTGACGACATATTCAAAATATTTGATAAAGTTGGCAACGTTCCTTATAGGCTTGTGGCTGGTAACACAGGGCAAGGTAAATATGACTCTGACAGATTGGCAAGGCGACTGTCAATACTTTGAAAGGTTGGGCCACTGGTTTGAGGCTTACATAACAACTCTGCCTTACAGTATCAATCATGATGAGAAGATTAGTGCACATGATAAATGGTGAACACGCGGAGGAAAAGAGTCACAATGTATTTCGTTTGTTAAAATAATTTGGGAAAGTCACTTTAAACCAGTCATGACCGCCCATGAAACTTTGAGTCAAAAGGAGTGCCACTGTAATTGTGCTCATATTATAAGCATTACAATAAAACACATGTTTCGACCTTATTCGGCCATCTTCAGATGAATAACTTCAACCTTATCTATATTGCTACAGCGACATGAAATATGGAGTATATTTTAAACTAAAAATTCACATTTATTTATTTATTTATTTAAGAAATTATATTTAAGTTT